CAACTGGCATTTGGAATTTTCTTGAGTGCCATTCCCAAAATTACTGGACAGCATAGTGTGGACTACCACAGGAAGGAAGGAAGTAAAGGAGGGGAGGGAGGAGTGATTATTGTTCAAATTATAAATTAAGTGATGGGAAACCTTTGTGCCTGTCCATGCAGAAATGATTTCTATACAAATTATTACATTTCCAAGCCATACTCTATGTGCAATCCCTACTGATATTTTCAGCTAAAAGCTGAATGAGATGAGGAAGGAAAAACAGCTGAAAAGCAGCAGATTATATCATTGAACAGTTTTAAACTTCTCACCCAGATTTCCAAATACACAAACTTGCTCAACAAATGGGAACTCTCCCATTAGTGCCACTATAACTTTTATAACTGGAAAACTTTACATAATTCTATAAAACAGACAGAAAAACTTTTATTAATTCAAATTAATTTAAAGACAAGAACAGGCCAGTTTTGTGCATTTAAATACTTCCATCCTCTTCCAAGTCCCTGCACCACTTCGCTACAGAACAGGATTTTAAGGAATTTAATTTCTCTCTCCTGTTCCACAGAGTGAATTATCCTCCTAAGGAAAAGTCATTTTCCCAGAGTCCCACAGCAAGTGACCATGTCTAAGGCTGTCCTTTGAGACCCACCCTCCCCTTGTTGCTGTTCCATTACAGCTGCTCAAAGCACACCCTCGGTATCCTGATGCCTAAAAGAGACCACTCCAAAGCACAGCCCTCTGAATTCTCAGCTGGATTAAATTAAAGGAGTGTTATATCCACAGGTTTGTGCCATGCAAACAGACTCACCTGTTGGCAGAAAGAGCCAGGTCCACAAGCAGAACTCGATGTGAGAAGCCCCAGTGAGAAACCCCTCAGCAGACACATCATCCAAGGCCTGGAGCTCCTGAGCTCACCTCAGCTGCAGTCTTCCTGCAGGAAACAAGCTCCTCACAATATTCCAGGGCACTCTGGCACTTGCATTCACTCATTTTCTTATCAGCCTCTTCATTGTCTGAAGCCAGAAAGCTTGGGCTGCATTCCTTGCTGGTTCAGACTTGCTGCTTGCTTAGCCAGACATCTACAGCTTTGGAAGACCTGACTTAGGTAAAACAGCTTTTTGGGGCACAAACACATCCCTTAATATCATCAAGACATCTTTCCTCCAGCCCAGGAAATTGTGACCACTAATGAATAATCTTGAATAATTTAGGGTTTAAAACTCCTTTAGAAATACTGAGGAATTTTGAAAGCAGGGCTCCCATATTCTACTCCGTTTCTTCTGTTACAAAAAACTTCCAGCTCTAGCCCTGCTTTAGTTTGAAGTTTCAAATGAAGCTTCTCTGAATCTCACTTCAGTTTTTCAGCTCTTTCAGCTGCCTGGTCCTGGACTTTCTAAAGCCTCTGGATCACTTAGCAAGAGTTTCCAACTGCACCTGCTGGCAAGACCAGAATGCAAATGAAGAGCAAAGAAGTTTAATTTGTGACATGTGCAGACACAACACTTCTTGTGGGGCTTGGATGGTTTCTTTGATTGGTTGTGTTTTTTGTGTTTTTTTCTCCTGTTTGAGCTATTTACAGGATTTCATTAATTTGAAAGCGTTGTGAGAACAATAAACACTTTGGCCAGAAGGTAGCAGGAGAGATCAGAGGAAGAAATTCAGTTTACATCAATAGATCTACTTTTACCAGGAACTTTTTAGTATTTGGGGGAAACAGAACATGCTGGTCAGAATATATTCAGCAGATGTGGGAATATGATTATTACATACATACATTGTACTTTTAATGCTGTATAAGAAAACAGAAGAATTCAGTGGTAAAAAAAGTTATTTAACATTGTCCATTCTTATGAATTTTGATACTGTTTAAGTAAAATCAAGAAAGGAATACATTTATCGTCTTACCAAAACATGTTTAAAGGTTTATGTGAAGAGAAACAGTCTGGTTTACCCTCTCAAATAGAAAGTTGAAATTAAATTAAATTAATTATTATAAAAATAATATGAGGAAATCCAATTTGGGAAAAAAAAAAAAAAAAAGGAGAGGGGCATATTTTTAACATCATTCCATATATTTTAATTACTTCTAGCAAATTAAAATTCATAGAAGTTTTTAGGTTTGCTTTGAGTATTCTTTTAAATATATGCCCACCCTTCCTCCCAAACTCAATTTGGGAAGCTGGGGCTGCAGCAGCTGCAGCAGCTGCAGTGATGGGCACAGGCAGAGCTCTGACACCCAGCCTGGCCTTACAGCAGGAAGAAAGGAGCAGCATCAGCCACATCCCCTCCAGACCCATCTGAACTGCAACTGGCAGCACCCTTCTCTGGCCCTGGGCAAGAAAATACTAAATAAAGCCCAGGTCAGGCTGCTGTGCTGTGTCCAGAGGCAGTCAAGGGCCTGAGGGTGAAGAATTCTGGCCCTAGAACACTGTGGGGCACCACATGGGAAAAGCCCCAAGGATTTCTGCAAGGGCAAGACTGAGGCTTTGATATGTGTCAATTCAGGGGGCTGAGGTGCAAAGGGGTCAGGTAATGTAGAGATGTTGATACTGTCCAAAACATCTCCTTCTGTCACATTCTTGCTGGCTCTGGGAAAGTCAATTAACTGAAGGAATGAGATTGGTAGTCCTGCCTGATGCTGCCAGAGCCTTTCTGGCTGTGAAGCTTTACCATCCTTTGTGTTTTGAGCACAGAAACCTTTCAGATATTGAATCATGCTTGGGTCATTCCCATTCATTTCTGCAGAAGAAAGAAAGGTATAGACTGGAAGCACAAACACTCCTCTCCCTGGATATAAATAAAAATGTGAGAGAAAATGCAAAATATTCTCCCTGCTATTCCGATTTCCTTGTTGATCATGAAGCTTTCTCATGTAGCCTCTTGGAAAGAGATTTATTCTTTCAGGATGCTTTTAATGTTCTCTGCCACAGGAGAGAGCTCTCACCATTTTGACTTGCACAGCAGGACAGATGTTAGATGCCACACTCTGAGTGTGACTGTCGTGGTTTGAAAGAGAGGTGTCTGCCAAGAAAGGTGGGAGCCTCCCTTGGAACTGAGAATATGGCATCCTTCCCTCTGAATTATTATAACTTTGAAATTAAGGGGCTTTCAGGCAAAGATATGGGAAAAGGAACAACAGTTCTTTACTGGTCTGTGGAACAACTCAAAGAAACAACAGCCCTGGCAGCAGCACCAAACAGAACCAGACACCAGGGCCAGCCTTGTCTCAGCCGCAGGCGCTTTCCCCGTGGCTGCAGTTCCGGGCACGGCCAGCAGGGGCGCTGGTGGCTCCCGGCCGGGCAGGGCGGGTGCGGTGATTCCCCCGCGCCTGCAGGGGGCGCTGTGGCGCGGGCTCGGCCGCCTCTCTGCGTGTGGGTAATGGCGGCACAGCCGGGGCAGGGATGGAGAAGGGGCTTCCTTTACAAACCCACAGGTGCAGCAGGTCCCGGTGCCCCTCTGGATGAGCTGTAGCAGGAACCTCGGGGCAGTGGCTGGAACGGCAGGGGTGAGCAGATCCCGGAGTGGTAGATGAGATGTGTCAGAGACTCCGCAGCTGCAGTGGGAGCCGTGGCGGGCCCAGCGGGCAGGGGTGCAGGGTTACAGTGTAGTGAAGAACCCAGAACAGTGGCGGAGAAGCAGCGGGGCTGGGCAGCCGCAGCCTGGCTCCCAAACACAGCTGGGAGATGGTCCCTTGGAGGTGGCTTGAGGCTTGGAGTCCTGTATTCTCCTCTGAGGCACACGATTGGATGGTGAAGGTCCTTTCTAGTGAGGTAGGGTGTTAATAAGGTCCCAGCCCAAGAGCTACTCATACAAGCAAAAGCACACACACAGTAAGGAAGAAGCAGGACAGCGCTGGGCTCCAGCAGTGGGAATGAATTCTTCCCACAGCAACCAACAGCTTGATCATCCTCCTTTGATGCTGACAGCAAGACAGAGCTAGGTACTGTGCGCAGCGCCTTGCCCCCCGCCCAAAATCTCCCTGCTTCCCCAAAGGACTCCCCTGCTTTCTAAACTCCTTCTCAGAGGAGGTGTGCATGGATCCAATCCCAGTCCCAGACTTCATCAAGACTTTATAACTAAGGGACTGTAACAGCACTTAATCACTGACCTTTCCTTCCTATCCATCTGATTCCAGCAGTTTTGGCTAAGGGAGTATTCTGAAAATAGAAATCTGCCTGAGAGATTGGGAAAAGGTGTGGAGTGCTTGAGAAAAAGGTTCTGGGTGTCATTGAAAGATCAGGATAAAAACACTGGTGAATGGCTCCCCATGATTTATGTTATGGTGGTGGAATGCACTAAATGAGCATTTTACTGGATTTGGATTTGCCATGGAAATTCCACAGAGTTTCTGCAAGGGCTGAGGGTTTTCTCTGGGTGTCTGCAGGGCCTGAGGGTCTGACCTGACCCAGCTTAATGCAGCTCACCTTGCCATGTCCTCTGCAGAGGCTCTGTTGAAGCCAGCAGGATCTCAGGCAGGGGGAGGAAAGGCTTTTTTGCCCTTCAGGATGTGGTTAAGTTGTTTTTTCAAAAGCAGGGGAGGGTTGGTGCTGCCTGGTGGAACTGAGTCAGAAATGGTGACCACAGCATCCTGCCTGTTGCTTGTGAGAGGGCCATGAGCTGGGGAAGGTGTGTGCTGGGCTCTGGAAGGTAAGAACCAAGTTGCTATGGAAACTATCACTGCATCAAACCACCCAACGTTATTGCCTGGTGGCCCCTTCCCCCTATCAGAGAGTGCAAAACATCAGCAGGGTTTCTTCTCTGCTGATGTGAGCATTGTCCTCCCTCATGCCTTCAGCAAGGACTCTCCTCACTGAGGCTCTTGAATGTGCCAGAGACACTTCCCTGCAGAGTCTGGAAAAGACAAATTCAGCCAACAGGAAATCTGCATTATCAAAGCTGATTTTCTAATCCCAGTGGGCTTTCGGTGAGTTGGATTTCAGCTGTCCCCATCCTGCTTTGGAAGAAAAAGCACAGAAACCCCACAGCATTTTGGCCTGGCACAACTTTATTTTTGTCACTACTACAGGAACCTAAAGTGCACATGAGATACATTTGGCAGAAGAAATAGAGGCTTCAGAAAGAAATGAACATTTTCTGCTTGAATTAAATCACTTGAGATCCTACACAGTTCTTCTCATCTGCAATACACACTTGATGTTATTAAATCTGTCCAAAACCCAGAGCCAGAAATGGCAGCTCCAGGGCTTGAATTCTCTCAGCAGTAATACTCCACTTCTAGAGGCAGTAACACAACATGCCTGGCAAAGGTGCTTTTAAAAGGCCACAGGTCTAGAGTCAGCATTGGAGTTTTCAAGGCTATTGATGCAGGTTGGACACTTGTGTGCAAATGCCAGAAGAGTGGGGAGATCTGCTAAGCAGGAGGATGTGGATAAATTCCCCTCCTCAGCTCTCAGAGGAGAGGAAACAGCAAAAGCACTTAAAACTCTTCAGTGTGAATCAGCTGGCCAGGCAGGAGTGAAGAGGATTCAATGTCCTGACGGGAAGGTGCTGCCTTGTGTCCTGGCTGGTCTCTGTCAGCTGCTCTGCCCCTGCTTGTTCAACCCCCTTGTGCTGCTGGTTCACGTTCTTTCCTGCTCTTCTTCGGGTTCCTCTTGCCTTCATTCCCCATGACTGGAAGAGCAGAGGGAGGTTTAAAGTACATTTAATGAAACTGGGCCTATGAACCACTGTTTGATAATTGTCAGATCAAGACAGGTACACTCACCGAAGTTAGGCTGGACTGCTTTTTGTGCCCCTTCAGATACTCTAATGTATATTAATGTAACGTATAATAATACTCTAATAATACCACATGTTTGTATTTTGGCATCCTTGCCTTTGTATCCTTATTTGTCTGTATTTTCTCCAGGTTCTGTGCTCTGCCACTTGAAATAGTCAATGAGATATTTCTTAGGCTGTTCAGGTAATACCTCCGTTTCTCTGACAAACAAAATTTGGGAAGCAGCCTCCAAGAACTGTGCTTTGAATACTGAAAGATGGTGTTTCCTTTGTGCTTTGGGAGGCAGGGTGGGCTCGTTTTAATTGCTTTTTTTGGGGTGGGGAATTGGTTTTGTTGTGTGTGCTTTGTTCATTGTTGTTGTCTTTTTCCCCAGAAACCTGCAAGAACTGTTAAATGGAATTAGGATCAGATGAATAGGCACTGTTCCTTGTGGGGCTAGGAGCACACAGAGGGATAAGCAGTCACTGCTGGCATGTGCTCCTGGACTTTCTACAAACCAAGCTGCTTGCTCCTTACCTCAGAAAAGAAACAACTTGATACTCATGAGGGCATTGAAGGCGATGCTCTTTGCCAGCAGCACTCTCAAACCCAACACAGCCATGGACAGCATGTTCACTCTCTGCCCTTCAGGATCTGCTCAGTGACCAGGAAAGAGGAGAGAGATCATGGTCTAGGTTTTGATGTTGTGATCGTGGCAGAAATTGGAAAAACCCCAGGTGACAGAGAAAGGAAGAGCAGCAAAGGAACAGACGATAGAGAACTTGGCAAGAACAGGGGAGCCCAGGGTCAGTGTCCATTGCTTTTTGCTTCCTGGGGCTTGTGTGTAACTGCAGGAGCAACCTTGGCACAGCAGTTTGTGTCTGCTGAACATGTTGTGTTGTGACACCTCTGCCCTGGAGAAAAGACATTTCCGTGCCTTTATCCCCCAGAGAGCGATGTAACTGCACAACGTGTTTGGGTAACTCACCTTGTGCAGAGGCGTCTGTGCTGTTGCAGACCCTCTTACTGGCCCCATCAGCCCCTTGAATGATCTTTAGGACTACAAAAACAATCCCACAAAATATCAAATGTGACTTAGTAAAAATACCTCAAAACATACCACACTTTTAACTTCTTGTTAAAGCTGGTGTTGGAAAGGGTGTTCCAGGTTGTGCTGCAGCAGGTTTGCTGCTGCAGGGTTAAATATGTAGCCAGAAGGAAATTCACATTTTAAACAAATAGATTGATTCTTCCCTCCTCCTCCCAAGGTTATTAGACAGTTGAAACCATTTCTTTGAGATGCTTTGAAACAGCTTTCATCTCTCCCTGAGGAAATACCAAATGGCTTTCTCATTTCTGCTGGCTGGTCAGGGCAATGCTGGCAAGCAGGAGAACACCAAGCACCACAGGACACTGTCCCTAGAAATGTGTTGCAGCTGTGCCACCAAACTGTACCTGGCAGTATTGTTATCATGCTGCTGTCGAACTTGTCCATGCAGATCACCTCTGCTGTCGAAGTGGATGTGTTTGGTTCTTTAGAGGTCATCTCCAAGCTGATGTTCATTGTATGGAAAATCGTTGGCAAAGGTGTTGTTTTCCCAGTGGTGCCAACATCTTCTGATTTAGTTGATTTCTCCACAATGACCTCTAGGATAGAAGTTTTTGGACTGTATGTAAAAAAGCTCATGGTTTTTGCAGGACTGAATTTACTGCAAGCTTACCCAAGTGCTGACTGACTGAAAATTCACATGTACTCTAGTTGTGATTAATTTGTACTCATTACTCATACTTATTTTCTCTCTTTTATGTCATTATTCCTTGCCATAAGATGTGCAAGTAACAAAAGAAGATTGCTTTAACTTGCAGCATCTGTCTTACAAGGAAACAGGCGGTCACAAAAGAATTTAGTAGCCAAAAAATTATTGTGGTACTATGATTTGTTTTTTTAGAGAAAGTACCTTTGCCTCTAGGTCAGGTAATTTATGGACAAACAGTGGCAATCACAAAAACCAATTTCAGCACTTAACTCAGACTAACAATTTGAATTAGAGTAAAAACATGGAACTGAAAAGAATCATCCAGCAGCCTTCCTTGCCAGAAAGGGCTCAGCTCATGAAAGGCTGTCAGACACATCCACAAAGACTTCACATGTCTAGCTTGACAGGAGCATCCTGAGGGGTCTCCTCGGTTAAGGGACGTGCATTAGGCTTTCCATTTGGTGTGGTGATTGCCTGGCAGTCAGGTCAAGAGATCCCTCAGGTCTAACATTTTGTTCACCCTAGGGTACTGATGGAAGTTTGATCAAGGGGCTCTGATTTTACATCCTTTCCCCATCAGCCCCATGCCACTGCTGAGGAACTGAGGTGAAAGCCAAATCGTACTCTGCCACAACTTCATGGGTCATGTCCTGACCAAACAGGCAGAACTACACACTTGTCCACACCTACAGCAACCAGACACCCAAGAGAAATCAACCATTTCCTTGCCAGGTGTTGTACCATGGTTGGCCAGAGCCTGTCAGTCCTGTGCATTCTGTGTTTTCTGAGAAGACCCTGAAAGGCTTTTCATGTGGTCTCCTCTGCAGGCTTTCCAAACAGCCAGAATACAAACAAGCTGCTCCTCTGCAATGGTTCCCTGGGCAAGATCTTCAGCAAGAATTAATGGACAGGGTGCAATTGTAGTTCAGAGAGCAGATTTGTTTTATCTGACCCCAGAAGCCTCACCTGAGTCCCACAGGTTTGCATTACCTGACATGAATTCCTACCACTGCTTGCTTCTGGAAGGGATTTGTCTTTTATGTTCTGACAATTGATTTGAACAAAAAGTTATACTTCTCCTTTACTTTACTTTTGCAAAGTCACAGGAGGAGGCCTGTATTCTAAAAAGTAATGTACCTTAGCATTCTCAAGGAATTTTTATTCTGGAATAATCAAACCCGAACCAAAGGGAAAACATTCTCTGTCTTTAACTGAGCCCTCAAGAGAATATGCCTGGAGTATCCCACAGTGACACTAATGGTTGTTATTTTATGTCATTTGAACTTAGGGATATTCTCAAAACTACTAATAACCACCACAACAATAATAATATAACAGTAAGATAGGGTATAATATATAGCATATATAACATACATAACATACATAACATACATAACATATACAACATATATAATATAGAATCTGGGTAAAATATATTCATGTATATCTTCATGTATGCATGTTAAAATGCATACTAGTGTCTCCCAAAGGAATTCAGAACCAAAAGGGAAACGTTTCTCACATCCTGGAAATTTTGGCTTCAACTTAGTAAGTATTTCAGCAGACTCAAAAGGGACTTGGATACTTCAGACTCAATATCTTTTACAGTCCAGCAGAATTTCAGAGTCTCTGTGCAGCTCTGAAAATATCCTGTCTTTAGCTAGGAAAAGAAAACCATCAAACAGCATTTAAAGAAGAGGTCTTTCTTCAGAATGATATCCTTGCATTCCTTTGTCCCTTTGGAATGGGAAGTGCACTGAGGTTGTTCCCAAATAAACATTTATTGCCATGCAACATATCCTACAGACATGGATAGATATTAGGCAGCACCCAAGGCAGTGCCATGCCCTTCTGGAAGGAGAGCAGGAGGTTTTAGGCATGTAAAATAACATGGGACGTTCTTGCAGCACTTTAAAGACATGCTGACCACTGAAAGCACAGCAACAATTTGTGAGGGATGCCTCTAAATCTTTAGGATAAAACAGATCAACTTCAAAAACCCCACTGCCACCCCAACATTCTCATTCCCATAAAAAACCTCGTATTGACGTGCACCTTTTTTTGTACATAATGAAATTCCAGATAAAGATAGGAATAATTAAATCTTCTTATAATCCCTACTCCCCACACTGGTCTTTCCAGAGCCCACACAACCTGGGAGCCAATTGTCTTTCATTCCAGCAGTTTATTGGATATGAGGCCCTTGTGAGAATTTAAGCCCAAGGCCATTTAACCTCCTTGCTCCTCCTGTGTCCCCAGGCCAGTGGAGTTACTTACCTGGGGACACTGTCAGTGTGGTGCTGGTGTCCAAGCAGAACTTCTCAAACCAGGCAGTTACAGATGTGTCTCAGAACTCCTCAGCAGTGTGAGCTCTTCCCTGAGCTCTGCATTCCTGCCCCAAGCCAGTCAGTGGAAATCCACTGGAGAATTGGACACTTGACAGTAAATTTGAGCCAGAGTGCTGCCCAAGCTGGGAAGAAGTTATCACGTGCTAAGCAGAGCCCTGCTGGTGGTTGGGGATCATGGAATAATGGTGCTATGCAGAGTCAGCCCAGGTGTTCCTGGGAAACCTTCCTGAGCAGATGCAAGCTGAGGATTTGGCTTGAAAGCCTGGCTGGAGAGCAAGTGCACTCAAGGGATTATTGCAGCTGAAAATTCTTTCACTGAACCTGAATCTTTAAATTCCTTTTTCACTCCCACCTCAATTTTAAATGAAATTTGAGAAATAAAGTAATGTCACTTACTTGGTACAACTCTGAGAATCGTCCCCGGTCCTTTTATTGGCCTCACACTGCTAAGACTTCCTCCAATAACTCACTCTTTCCTCATGGTGTTCAAAAGTGTTGTAAATCTAGAGATGGAAAGCTGGATAGTTGGCCTAATTATCTTAAGTGCAAGCCCTTAAGATGATCCAGAGCTAGATTTTCTTTGTAGATTGGAAAGGGAAAAAAAAAAATTACTTGGAAAGTTCAATTATTTCAGTTATCTTGATTGAGTACAGAATTTTCAAAATCTCCCTTTCTTTCCTCTTTTGAATTCCCCTGGATTTATTTTATGTATCCAGGATAAAAGAAAACATAAAATGAATGTTGTACTTCTCTTCTTACACATCACAGTCACCCCTCTCCTTTCCTTCCCAAAAGATCTCACCTTTTTTCCTACTTAGGATTTTTGTACAGGTCCCTCTGCTGTTTATATCACTGTGATACACCCATCCACCCAAAGCCACACAGTGATATATTTCATAGCAAAAACTGTCTCTGTTCCACTACACAGAATTTTGGATTATACAGGCAGTCACATGACTTCCTCAGTGGTTTAAGACCCAACGTATCACATGAGGAAACACCATGTGGCTTTTCAAGAAAGGATCTAAAATAATATCAGAAAGGTTGATATGTAAGTGAGAACTTGGAGATTACATGGGACCTCTAAAAAGTCTGGTGGAGTTGAGCTGGATAGAAAGCAGGAAAATGATCAATACTTTTCATGTTATTTCCAAGCATTTCTGAAAATTCTTCTGACTTGCTGGAAGCTGTCCACTTTTCCCCCTTAGTTTCAGTGCTCAGAAGCAGGAGGAATGTGCCCTCTGGGCTCTTAGAATTGGTGTCTGGGGGTCATTTAGTACCTTAGAAAATCTTTATGGTGTTTTAGGTAAGAGGAGAAAGTTGGTAAGATGATTGTTCTTTGTTGTGTAGAGGCACTGAAAGCTTGGGAGTGAGGATCAAAGAATGACGGAGTGTGTTGATATGGCACAGCCTGTTTTTTTGGTAGCAGGGGAGGATCACAGAAGGCGCTTCTGTGAGAAACTGCTAGAAGCTTCCTCTTTGTCTGACAGAGCCGGTCTCTGATGGCTCTGAAGATGGACAAGATGGCCCAATTAGTGAGGTTGGTAACATATGATGACATATTTAGGAAGAAAATCAAAAGAGGGCACGTGCGGCTTTCCAAGGGGCAGGGAGGTACTGCAGCTGCCACTGTGGCTGCTGCCATGCCGGCGAGGCCCACTGTGAGCCTTGCCTGCCTGGCTGCCCCTCACCAGCCGCACTGCAAGTGAAAGGGCAGGGGCAGGGGCAGTGGTTTTTCCCTTTCCTGGCACCCTACATGAGGAGAGGCATTAAATAGATCCAGTGCCATGGCAGCTGCCACTGCCTGCTTGGCAGCAGCGTGACCGCATGGCTGGTGGCAAAAACACATCAAGCAACTCCCTGATGCAGAAGAACCTAGAGAAGATCAACTTCTCAGTGCTGCCTGATCTTGCAAGAATCTTTGAATCAGTGGAGCTTGTTGACAATAGTCTACAGAGCTACGTATATATATAAAGGAAATATAAAAGCAAAAATCATTCTTTGTGCATCAAAATGGTTGGAGGAATGGGTTTAGAAGTGGAAACTGTAATCAAGTGAGAAAGCAGTGGGAAATGTGGGTAGGAAACATGTTAGAAATGGTAAGAACAAGACAGGCTTAATAATGATTAGAAACCAAAGGGCTGAAAGGGGTGTACTTTGATAATGTGCATATACACAATGAATATCCGTGAGGAGAAAGAAAATGCTCTGGGCTTCTGGGAAATTACCATGGCTGAGTGCCTCTTCACAGCCCCTTTGCAGAAACACACAGAGTAGGAGAGCAAACATGAGACATTAGAGCTCCACCAGTAGGTGCAAGGCACCTCATGGACAGCAGAGAGAAGTGGTGGGACAGCTCACATGACCCAGGATGGGAAATGTGTGGTGCAGTGCAGCTCAGGGCACATGGCCTGGGCTCATCTCCGAGAGAGGATCCTGGGTTGGGTTGGGTTAGGTTGGGTTGGGTTGGATTGGGTTGGGTTGGGTTGGGTTGGGTTGGGTTGGGTTGGAAGGGCCCATAAAGATCACCTATTTCCAATCCCTCTGACACGGTCAGGGACACCTTCCACTATCCCAGGTTGCTCCAAAGACAGTCCATCTTGGCCTTGGACACTTCCAGGGGTGGGCATGCTCTGGGCAATATGAACCAAGCCATCACCAGTCCCACAGCCAAAAATCCCTTACCAATATCCCATCTAACCCTGCCTGCTGGCAGTGGGGAAACCATTCCCCCGTGTCCTATCACTCCAGGCTCTGTTCCAAAGTGACTCTCCAGATCTCTTGGGGCCCCTTAGGCATTGGAAGGGACTCTGAGGTCTCCCCAGAGCCTTCTCCTCTCCAGGCTGGGCACCCCCAGCTCTCTCAGCCTTTGAGCTCTAACTCTGCGGGCTGCAGGCAGAGCTGTGGGATGACAGAGATGTGGTGGAAGAGCTTCCAGGAGCATTGTAGTGACTGAAGCCAGGCTTCAGGAAAGCCAGGCTGGGAAGGCAAGGAGTGGGAATTGTCCTTTCTCTGAGAGAACAGCTGGAATTTGTGTTGTGGGATGTGCACTGAGCAAGCTGACAGCAGATGGGTCAGGATTAGAGGCCACATCAGCAGCGGGGACACTCTGGTGAGTGCCTACTCCACATCACCTGATGGGGAAGAATTGGCGAGGCCTTCTTGGGACAAATGGGACATTCCTTGGCTCTGGTTGTCATGGGGTGCCTGAAGTGTGTCAAGTGTCTGATGGCAGGACAGCACAGCTGAGCACAAACTCAGGAGTTTTCTGGAGTGTGCTGATGCAAACTTGCTGACACAGGTGACACAGGAGAGCTGGACCTCTGCTTGCCAGTGAGGAAGAATTGGTGGTGGATGTGAGGTGGTCGGGGCAGCCTTGGCTGCAGTGAGCATGCACTGTTTGAGCTCAGGATCCAGGGAGAAGAGAGCAATGCAAAGTAGAGGACTGGGGCCCTGGGCTTCAGGAGAGCAAAATCTGGGCTCTTCAGGGATCTTCTGGGAGGAATCCCATGGGTTATGGTCCTGGACAGAGGAGGGGTCTAGGAGAGCTGCTCATTTTCAGAGATTAGATCCATGAACTCAAGAGTGATTCCTCCTGACAAAGCAGCAAGTCAGGCATTGAGGTGATGATAAACAAGATTGATGATGATGAACAAAGGGCTCCTGAACAAACTCATAAAGGGAAATACAAAGCAACCATAAGTGATTCCAAGTCCTTGTTCTGATGTCTATAGCAGAGGGATTCCAAGAGCAAAGTGCCATTTCTGGTCCCCAGGTCTTGTTCTTCGTGCATCTGCTTTTGGCCATTGTTGGAGCTAAAATTAAAAGGATGATTGTTCTTACCAGAATCTTCCTCTGTGCTCCGAGACAATGAGAAGAACATAATGCTGAGCTAAAATGGAAATGCCTAAATACAGAAGTTTCCTGCCCACTTGTTCAATTGGAGCTGGTGATCAAATGTCTAAAATGACCTGCTTTCAAGAGCCAAGGATCTCATTTTGAATGGTGAAGAAATTTGTCTTGGAAAAATAGGTGGGGTGTTCTACTGTTTGAGTAATTCTGGTAAATCACATTTGTGTATGTGCACAGAGTTGTCTGAGGAAAAATAGATGAGGAGGGCCACCATGCTTCACCCTTCCAGAGAAGGGAGGGAGACAGTTTGTGTGTGGTGATTCAGTTGTTTTCAATCACTGTGGTAGATAGTTCACACTGTGCTAGACAGTTCTACAAAAACATTTGGGGTTTTTTTCAGTGCCAGGTGGTTTCTCCTCTTTCATGTCTTTGAAGAGCTGCCTTTTGTTTTTTTGTCCCTCCGCACTCTACTTCTGAACATATAATACTGTTCCAGAGGATCCTCTACACTAAAAATAACGTTATCATCCTTGCTTTTTTTTAGCAGATTGAGTAGTTAGTATTAATGTAATTAAAATATTGCCCCAATTTGTATCTTGGGAGAAGTCACTCAGGTTAATAACTTTATTCTCATTCTGTATTCCCTAAGCCTTTCTGGACCTTCTAACACATCTGTCCTTAAAGCCTATTTGCATGCCAAAGAAAAAAAATCTGTCCATGTTTAGAAATTGTTCAGAAGATATTTTGGTTCAGCTGATGGTGCTTTCATTGACTCTCTTTGCATTAATGACCTAAAGATGCTTATTTACTCAGCTATTTAATTTTTAGTTTTTCATATTAGAGTTCCATTTTTATAAAGGCCATATGAGTTTTGTCCTAATTAGATCAGCAGTTTTTGCCCTTAATTTTTTTTAATCTGGTGAACTGATTATTTGACCACCGAGTTGGCCATTGTTTGGAGTTTTGATTTATTTGTATGTGCTTTTCAATGAGTTTCTAGGTGGGGAACATCTGATTGTAGTTGACTGAAGCTGGCTTTTAATTTGATTTTTATCTTTAATAATTTTGAATAATGATAGCCTGGAATTGTGGAGCATTTTCCTAATCCTCAGATGCAGTTCTGAGACACAAAAAGCAAATAGTATGATTTCATCCTGTTTGCATTGTTGTTGTTCCCAAGGATAGAGCTGTGCTTCTCATTCTAAATCAGTGGTTATAACAGCAATGCTGCTATTTCCCATTGGTAACAGGGGCACGTTCATCTGCTGTTCCCTTGAGTGTCTCAGGTTTTTTTCTCTTCCTTGTTGCTTCAGTCCTGCATGAAAGCTGGGGAATGTGCTGATGTGATGTTTCCAGTCAATTCAAACCTTGGCATGAAAAAGAGAACAAGCCCTAAACACCTCCTGCAAGAGGCTTGGGCACACAAAGGTGCCTCTCACATCCTCTGACCTGGCTGGCAAATCTTCCCAGAGCAGTGAGACCTCACCCTACTCCTCACTGAGATCTCCCAGGCTGTTAAACAGCCCCTTTCTATTTGAGTGGCCACAGAGACACACCTGTGCTTACAGCCCCCCCGCAAGCCACATATGCTTGCATTTCTTTGCTTTAAAAGCTCAGTTCAGCCTTTCTTTTTGCCATCAGTGTCCTGGAAGAGTGTCTTGGTTTGAGGTGTCTTCCAAGGAAGGTGGGAACCTTCAAGAAATGGAGAATATGACACCCTTCCCT